CTTCGTTGTAATAATAACTTTATATCGTATATTACATCACTGTTGGAAAACTCGGAGCAATTCCGTTTTGCTCGGCGCTCGCAAAACTTTAGTTTTGCATATAACTATACAGTTCCCTTTCAACGTTATTTAACTGGAATAACTGTTATTATGTGTTTAATTATAACGTGAACACGAGAAAATATCCTTTTAACATCAATCATCTCTTATTCATCCTACATTTGTAATAAGTAAAACTAAAATAGAAATTATTACGGATATAAAAAATGCGCACAAACGATCCAAATAAAATCTCGACTTTATTTTAGATCTTATTTAAGAACATTAAAAGAATAATGGACTTTTAATTTTTGAAAATTATTGTACTGTGTGATCAACTTCTGTATGATTAATTTCGCATTCCAGTTTTGAATGATTTAGGATGGGTCAATTTGTTTGAAAATTGCATATTATTATTTCCGCACACTGCAAAGTTGTAAGAGTTACTGGACAGCTGTATGTTCCCCATGGGTCGGAACAATGTTTGTACTTTACCGCAAGACGCCATTCATCGTGCCTGTGACCGAGGCATGCTGTGTGCCGGCAAACTTTGTGCTAAACCCTGGAATGCGCGCCGCACCCTATTAGACCTTCGATATTTGTTTCCTCTACTTCCTTGCCGACTTATCGCGCCGGCTTCGCTGGAACTTTCGCTCGATTTACTCTCACAAATTCCCACATTAAAGCGCTGCATTTCGCCGAACGAATATTGTTATATTAGTCTCCATTGTCAACTGCTAAACGTGAATGAAGCTATATAATCGAGTCACAGCTTTTCATTGACTTTCAATTCAATTAATCTGAACGGAGTGCACCGGTCGAGATTATGAAATTGCGAGATTAATAAATATCAAACGTACATATATGTGGATGAATATTTTAAATATATCATTTTTAATTTAATTTCAATTTTACTTATAAAGAAAATAGAAATATTTTTATAGATGTATTTTTTTTAAATATAAAACCTGAAAAAAATAACAAAATATATTTTGACAGCTGTGTAAAATTTTTCACTTTGAAAAGCGATTTTTATTATTTCTTTTTTTAATGGGGTCAACTGTATAAGCTTAGTGGATTTTCGGATAGAAGAAAATTCACAATAACGTTGTATTAAAAACATACAATTCTTTCTAAGCTCTGTTGTTCAACGGGGTTATCTTATCCTTGGAATGAAGCATCCGTTTCTTGCGAAAAAAATTCCTGCCGATTAAGGGATAGCAGCAGCTTAATGCAGGTTTTATGCGGTGCTTTATTGCGTGTAACGTTTTATTGCGCGTGTTCCGTTGCAGTAGCTAAGGCTTGCAGTCGGTACGTAGAATCTCCTCAGTTCTAGTGATCGTCGCGCTCTTCAGCCTTTTTTCATGATACCCAAGAAAACGTCTGAGAGATGAAAGTTGCAATTTCTTAGAATTGTCGTGACGAAGAGCTGAAAAACTGTTATAAATGTAGAGAAATGGTGCTCATTTAGAAAAGAAGAAAGCTTTAGTGTATGTGGGTCAACACTTTTTTAATTATTAAAATATGTAATAATACACAATTTCATACAGAAATTTTATACAAGCGTCAATATTTAAATTAATTTAATTAATAATAATTTAATCAATTCAAATATATTAAATAAATATTAACTAAATATTAATATATTATATTAATATTTAAAATATTAATATATTATATATCCATATATATATATATCATTTATACTCTAATATGTTAAAATATATATTTTAATATATTAAAACACAAGAGTATTTATTATAACTGTCGCTATTTTTTGTGTAGGACTATTTATTGTATTATACGTAACGATTTTTATTCTAAAAAATGACGCGAATAAATGTAAGGATTGTAAATCTTACAAATTATCTTAGTTCTTTTATGATAAACCTTATAGGTCAGAGATCGAAAAAAGCTCTTAATATAGTGATCTACAACTATCATTCCTTAAGATCTAAATTTCTCCGCGAAATGTCGCATTCTCTCATTTAATGTCAATAAAAAGATCATTGTTTTGCATTTATAAATTTATGTGTTGTTATTTATGTTTTATAAAATAGAAACACTCTTGAAAGCATTCTTTTGCTACAAGATGTTTACATTCTCGAATTTTACGTTCTACGATTATAGGGCTTCTTGAAGCATTCCAATGTGCAGTGCTGTTCATGCTAAAAGCTACAACAATAACGAAATGAGAATTCCTCGAGATAGTTATTTGTATGTATATATCTTTTAAAAAAGCTCGAAGTAATAATAACACTACCAAAGCAGATGAAAGTCGATTTATGCGAAGTGCACCAAATTAATTTCGTAATAATGAAAATTTATAATCAACTATTACAATCATTTTTATGCGGACAATAGCAGCGTTCATTTTATTCGCATACGAATTAATTAGTCAACATGTCGATTAGAAAATAACAAAGACAGCTTTGTTTCGAAACAAAATGAATCATCTTCGTGTATACCGTTCCTCTTTGCCGGTGTTGCTTATTATATGTTGCTCATTATATGTTATATAACCGACTCACGTCATGTCGGCCGACTTTACATAATGGAATCGAGGCGGTTTCAGCGCATAATAAAATTTATCTAATAGCGCCGGTTATTTTCAGTCAACAGAAGTAACATTCTTGAGTATAGGCGAATGAAAATTACATCATAATTGTGGCCTGGAAATAACGTCGCGTTACAGGAATAAAATGGCATGTAACAAACGCACTGCAGAATTTTACGCATAGCGTAGTGTAAAGATAAACGTATGCGCGTTGATCTCCCGGGTTTTTTTTATTGCGCGTGTACTTTATCTCTCCAAGGTCGTATAAATTTTTTTGCGTAGGAGACAAAAAGGGCTACTTTGCGGCTCCATTAAATCTCGCGCTTCGTTTAAGCGTTGCGATTATCTCTCCTTCCGCCACTGGCCGCCGTCGTCTGCGGGAGAATAAAACACAAGAAAGAGAGAGAGAGAGAGGGAGGAGAGAAGGAGGAAATCCTAGATGCACGAGTAATTACTCGTGTGCTTTTCGCGCGCATCCCCGCATTTGTCGACACAACTTTTTCACCCCTTGTTGTCCACCGTCGACCGGGCTTTTAGCAGTAAGCCGAGTCCCCCGTCTGAAATATGAGACTTTAGGATTTGTCGAACATTTTTTTCTCCTGCAAGTGGCTGCCGGCCGTTGCGATCTTCGCGTAAAGTTGTAGGGGAGACCGGGGACAAAAGTAACAGGGTACAGTTGTAACATCGTAAATATTTTTAAAACTATAATAGGTATACCTATGTATGTGGCTGTGAGACAAAAATCATTAGACAAACCGACATTGGTTTGTTAGTTCCTTATTGGTCCATATAATATTGACATATTAAATATAGTATTATATCCATATAATATTGACATATATGATTATAAATAATTGTATTGCATGAAACTTAATAAATAGCTAAGTGTTTACCTATAAATTATATAATATAATACAATCGTCCTCCTCTACTGTTACAACCGTCCCTGGGGCTGAGGACAGTTGTAACATAGTATTCCTCATAGTGTTTAAACAGTAATAACTTTTTTCCTAGTTACATTACAAGATTGAACACAAGAAAATTTTGTATTTAAATAAATTCTATCTAAAGATATAGGTTTTTAAAATGTAAATATTATAATTTAACTGTTGTAAGACTTTAAATTCAAAATGTTACTTTTATTTCCGGTCTCCCCACCACAAAGTCGGGGCAAACTCTTCGATTCTATCTCGACGAACTTATTTCAGCGATCATAATTCGTGATACGACGCGACTATAATACGATTTGATCCCCGCGCGGCCGTCGATCGCAAGTCCTTCTTACGGCAATTCCCCTAATAGACGTATCATAGTACGCGAGTTATATTAGCCGCGTACATTATTTACGGTGCCACGGTAGCGATCGATAGATTCGCTTTTTCATTATTAAAACCGTATACGCTTGAAAAATATTCACGAAGCTTACGCGTGACCGATCGCGATAATTTCAGGGTCGAGGAGGACGCGGCGACGGGCGTACGCGATCGATGATCTCTCAATCGCGTTTAATCGCGCGTTAGTTAGGGAGCTTAACAAGCGTACGGAGATGCGTGATTTATGCTGAGAAGAAGATAAACAAGGGCGGATTTTGAAGTCGCTTTATCGGTGGGGGAGGGGAGGGGGGGAATGCCGGAAGATTTAGCACGACGCGCTAAACCAAAATGTCGAAACTGTACACGTGATAGCGCAAACGAATGTCATCGTTGCGCCATCACAACGCGACGAAGCCCTTCCCCGCTCGCGATGAAAATACGAAGAACCAGAGAGATACCTAACCGATATATCAAACGTAGCCAAGCGCGGTCTTTGAATAATACATGAGGGCGAGCGATGCGCGAGCACGGGGAGGCACATTTTCAGCACCACTGGCATTCTCTTTTTTCTGCATTCTACGAGATGCACCCCGTCCTGTTTCTCATTTTTGCCTCGCAAACGCAATGCGACATTTTTCATGTAAATCGATTCACATAGCAGATACATACATGGGTCTAAGAGAATCTTTTATTACACTGTGCCTCCAAATCTTTAGAAATCAATATTTTCTGAAGGTATTGAAGTGAAAGAAGTTATTTTGCAGTTAAATAGATTCTTCTTTAGATAAGATCTATAACTCGCGTCAGATTTTAGGATAGAATTTTATAATTTTAAATATTTTTCTCTTTTCTTTAATGCAATATTTTATATATCCGTATTTTCAATTGTTAAATGCTTTTTATATTACGTGACACATAAAATTATAAAAAGATATTTATTCTGGATTCTGACACAAATTGTAAATTGTTTTACAGAAACAGATTTTAAGATCAAATTGGATAAGAAGAAGATATATTTTAATTTAATTTTAATTAAATTTTAATTAAATGTAACATTTTTTTCATATAAACAAATCCATTTTAAATTAAAGGCCGTCACAGAAGAGAATATCTCATTGTGGAGGGAAGCGATCGACCCAAAAGACATCGGCATGTCACGATTACGCCGAGCAAACGTCGCGACGCCGATGGAAGCGGTATGTTCACGTATATATATATATATATATATATATATTAAATATGTATATAAAAGAAGACAGCGACGTTAAAACGATTAAAACAATAAAAATTTAATTAAAAAGTTTTAATTACCATTGCAATTGGTATTTAACGATGACAGTCCGATGATAAACGAGACGAGTTAAAACTCCTAGACATTCGTTTACAGGTGACGTGACAAAGATCGAGGTGGTGCTCCAGGAAGCACCGGACGCTGTCATCGTCGGTTCCATGTCATCGGAACTGGAAGCCACCACCGAACTCAATTCGACATTTCCCAACGGTGAGTCTAATAATTTCATATAGTCCCAGGGGTGTTGTAACCCTTGTATATATTTCTGATCATGTTCCTGACGATATTTCTCTGTCTTCTTGTTAAGAAAGATATAAAAACATTTTTTTAACGTCATCTTTTTTCTTTCTCCTCCCTTGAAGAACGTAATAAGAAGTGATGGCAATTTCCGAAATCGTCTCGATGTTTCTTCTTTCACGTTATTACTGGAAAAAAATTAGCTTATTTGGATTTTTGAGAAAACATCGAAATTATATTCACTGTATGATCGTTCTCTTCGAATTTAATGAAGTTTTGGCACGAGTTTTAATCTTATCGGTATCGCTATACTTTGAATAACAGAAAGATAATATAACTCTGCGAAACATCAAACTAAAAGTATGATAAGATCTTTGAAACATTGATTGATGTTTCAATTTGAAGGAATTTCGAAGGAACGATCCGAGATTCTTGAATACTTGTATTCGTATTTTGTGAATTTTTTACGCAATTCTCCCCTGTTCTTTTGTCGTGACAAAAGTGGAAAGAAATGATCCGTGAGGTAACTGTGTTTTCCAATGTTTATCTGCAATCTTTCGAACTTTCACTTCGTAAGTCGATTCAATTTTACCTTCATCAATCAACGAAACGTTATTCAAGGAGGATCACTTTCATATCCCACGGTATCTCCACGAAATCTATACGAACGCGACGAAGTGACGCCTCCACGGTGAACGTAGACGTAGCGCGTTACGCTATTAATCGAATAAATAATTGATGTATATGTATATATAAAAACGTGTTGTGAAACGTGCAAAACGAGCAAACTTTCCGATACCCAGATTTCCACTAACAGCATTTTCGTTAATCCGATACAGTTTAGGCACGTTTCATAGCCGTTTCACTTTATTTTATGTAAAACTGTAAACTGGTTTAATGTTTATAGTTTTTATGCTCTTGACGACATTCTAAAGATTTTACGGAAAGTTGTTGGTGACAGAAAATCGATCGCATAATTTTTTTTTTCTAGAAATGAAAACGTGAACAGTAAAATTTCACTTAAATTTGGCGTATTCGTGATAAAATTCGTGATAAGCCACCTGCGACGCAGTCTAACATGCTATACAGGAAAGAAGGACTAGCAGAAAATTTATATTGCGTTTTTACATAGTTATTTAAATTAAATTTCAATTTCTTAAATATTTAATTTTGAAAATGCATGAAAAATCTTGTGGCTCGGGAACACAAAGGTAGGAGATTTCAAGTATAGATATAAATTACGATATAGAACGTCGTCTCGAACTACATATATTTTACGTGCAGCACGAATGCCAGAAACGAGTATGCAGGCATTGTGTATAATGGAATCTGTCTAGTCCTTTTTCTCCTTCTGATTTTCTACATGATAACCCACGAGGTGAAGTTCTCTCTTCGGACTCCCCCGGTCGACCCGCGTAGGACGGTGGGATATCAATTTATCAGTTCGATCGTTTGCCATACGTACGTGCTATGAAACATCGTTAGACGGCATTGTACGACGGCCAACAAAGGTTTACGTATGACTGAACATCGAATTGTACCCTTGAGCGATATTTCCTCAGTTTATTTTCTCTCCTGCAGTTAGCCAGACACGTTCGCGCAGTTAGCTCGTAGATCAAAGGATGCACACGGAGAAATTAGGTCACATTATCGTGCGATCGTTGCTTTAACTCATTAATTTTAATACTTAATTTTAATCTATATTAATAGCAACCCACCCTACCTCTTTAAACGCTAATCTTTCACGCGAACTTGTAACTTCCTTCGTTCTCTAGTTTTGTATATCTTTTTTCGTAAGTCGCTTTGTCGGTAAGAAATACGAGAGCGGATTTAATCAGGGATTCCAGGAACGGGCGCGGTAGTTGTGCGAGCCGAGGAGGTCCTTATCGTCGTTCTTGTCCTGGTCCTGTGGGTGGCTGCCATCGCTCTGTTTTTCAATCGATGGGGCAAGATCCGCATGCTCGAGCCGTACCAGCCGAAATTTCAGCAACAACACCGGCAAAGCTGCACCATAATCGACCCAAACCCACTCCAGGTAAGTGCGTTTTGTGCACCGAGCTCTCCTCTCTGCGTGAGCTCTCTTATTCCGCATGGATAGCACACAATGTCTATACAGTTGTTGGAACACACGTCGAATTGCATCGCCGGATTACCGTAATGCACATAATCTGCGTAAATGTGTGGCACGAACCGGCTCCCTGTACATGTCAAACTATATATATTCTACGTGACGCCGAGCTGTTGTGTATCTGTACATGTTTCTAGAGATGTTAACGATATATCTTGCGATTAATGGGTAATCGGATAAGAGCCAATTAACGGTTTCCATTTAGATAACAATTCGGATTCTAATTATTTAAGGCATTAATTGTACACACATTACTCGGTGAAATTTAAGAGATACTAATTAACGGAAATTAAATTCGCTTTAGCTAAAAATTTCAGGATTATTTATACGATTGATATTTTCCCTTAAATTTTGTGAATTTATTATAATTCTGTGCAACGTATCGTCAATGTTTGTATTTAATTAAATTGAATAATTTGCGAAGTTTCTTCGCGGCACGTAAATTAGGTAACGCATATACTGCCTGTACACAAACACCGCAGTTAGCTGGATAGAAATTAAATATCCCAATATATATTCGTGTAGCGGCGCCGAGATTCTGATTATTTTCCATTTAATTACCAAAATAACGGCTAGCATTATGGAGCTATAGAACATCGCTGGAGGGCAAACTCTGTATGTTAAACCGCCGTTAAAGGAGATTTGCAAACTCGTGAGACCGGCGTAATAACCACCGTAAACCTACCCTGCTGAGTACACTGGAATAGTTAAACACACCATGTATACTAAGTGTTCCAAAACGTATTGTTACAAAAGAAAGGTTCCAGGTTCCAGTGTTCCAAAACGTATTGTTAAAAAGAGAAAAGTTTCAGGCCAACTCCAACAAACGTTTTAATAACGTTTGCTTCAGAAAAAAACGCCGTAGATTTTATTCAATTTTTTAAGCGCGAAATATTTTATCTCTTCTTCAACAAAGTTTACAATCTAATAAATACACGCGTATGCAATGTCTCGTATATTATGGCATAAGCAAGCAATAACTTGGGCATGACGTTACCGGGCGCGAGCCTACGCGAGAAATAGCGTATTTTTCATACGCTACGCGGGTCACGTAGACGTAAACCTTCTTGCTTCCACATCTGGATTCTCTATATCACGATCATAAATTCACTCATATCTTTCACCGAACCCTTATGGTAATTCAGCTTCACCTTCGGATTGTGCTATTTTTAGGAATCGAATCAAATGTGTCGCAGAACAACGTAACAAATTCTGGGTGCTTTCCATTTAGCGACATAAATCGATATAAGTTGATATAAGTCATTCTGTCTTTGATGTCACTAAATGTTAAAAAAAAGACAGAATGACGCTTGTTTCGACCTGTGTCACTAAATGGAAAGCACCCTCTGTCGCGCAAAAACAACATGTAAAGCGTAGAAATATTAATTATAGGTTTTAAAAAATGAGTTTAAAAAAATTGGTATTAATTTTAAAATCTCATCTTTTACTCCTCAATAATGTTAGCTTCTTTTGGAGGGGCGTTAAATAAACTTTTGCATAAAGACGCTCGCTCGGCGGCCCTGAGTCAAAAGAGTCATGTCTAGTAAGTGAAATCGTCGATATCTCCATTCATTCTCTATTCCAAACGCGCGCTTTAGCAGTTCCTAAATCTTGTAGCACCCATTAAATTGCCAAAAGCATTTATATCGGCTTATTTATCATTTATAGAAGAATGCAAAATGAATGAGAGGATTTACTGCTGCGTGTTTGTTATAAATTGACTCTCGAATGGTTTCCCTGCTGGAACGGGCGGCTTCTCATCGCGGTCGGGCGCGGATAACAGATGTTCCGTAACCGGTCTCGCTCCAGATGACCATGTATACTTCATGATTTCATTATACAACGAAGAAGTACGCGAGAACATGAAACAATTTATCATTTAATATATCGGAGCACACTGGGATTACTTGAATCTCGCAGACCGATTGCCGCGTTGTGCAGCTTAATCCACGATATCCATTATCGATATTCCCACGTTCGGCGGGTAGTACATAAATTTCAGATCGGACCGCCTTAATTACGTCTTGATTTCTGAATCTGGTTTTAGAAGCAAAAATCTATACACAATCTGTTATTTGATAAAATATATTTGCTTATTTCGTAATAAAAATGCATAAATAAAATCTAGATTGAAGAGAATTCATCGCGCGGATTATCTTTCATTTATATTAAAGAATTAAGCTTATAATTCTATGGAGAGAGATTTTTAGGTAACGGATATAAATGTAACGTATTTGCGTGATAAATTTTTTTTGCGATGTTGCTCTATTGATGTGCGCGTTTTGTTATTTATGCGGTGCGGATTACAATTAGAAAAAAATTTTTCGAGCGAATAACGCCCCGCGTCTGGAATCGACCTTTATCGGCTCGTATAGGATGTGCCGAATATTTCGCGATGTCAATCGCATATATCGGTATTGGATTTACCGGTACAAAGGAATACAAATCACGACGCGAATGGGAAAACGTCCGAAATGGGTGCTCAACAACAGAGTTCGCAGAAGCCCGATCATCACGTCGCGCTGCATACTGGCCCGGGTTTTTACGAACTCGCTCTCTATGTAGAGCCGTCCGACCATTTATTCCGTGTAAAATTTTGCTTTCCGATATTGACATTGTATTTTTTATCACGTCAATTAATCGCGCTGGCGTATAAAAGCGGCAAAATAATCCCGGGTTTTTGTTTGAACATGATATATTGCAGGTATATTAAATGTTTTTGTTATAACGGAAGATTTTTGCCGTTGCACGTATACAGTGTTAGGACAAGGTATATGTGCATACGGGACGTTACACACGAGCGTACGTTCCGCGTCGGTGAGCCTCGAGTAATTACTTTCAGATATAGGAATCACCCGTTCGCCAATATGTATTTCCGCGTCCATGGTAATTCAATCGCGGAAACGTTCGATTGCATTGGCGTTTACTACGTCAGAAACACGTCGGCCCCGATTCTATCGAGTCCGACAAATCGCGTATCTTAAAATTGCGCACCGCGGTCTGTGCGCGGACGGTATCCGGGGGAAATTGGCACGAAACTATTTTTAATTTATGGATACGCACGGCTGAATCCAAATATTAATGCCGCAACGACGACGCGACGGCATGAAACATGACGGACAATAAGCGACGTCTGACTGCGGAGCTATAATTTGCGACGCCATTAATCGGTGAGCGACGATATAAATTAAACTTGTATCTCCGACGTGACGTGAGGAAAATTGAAGGCCAGTAACAACAGTCGTTGGTCGGTGACGCGCAACGGACCGATTAATGAGGGTTCCCTTAATGAAACTAAACGAAAACTTCTCTCGAAATACTTCGCGTGACTCAGTTCAACCGTCTCGGCTCGCAAACCATCATTTTGAATGTCTTGATTGGTGGAACTTCCCGACGTCGTTAAAAGTGGCACTCGGAATCGTCGAATGCCGGATCTTGGGACGAGTTTACTGAAGTTATCTATATAGTTTAGTCTGTGGGATTTTGGATATACCTGCTCGAAATGAGTCTCGCGAGGGATCTTCCAAATATTCGATTTAACAACCTCCTGAAGGGAGGATCAATCGTCCAATATCGGATATACGGATGGATTTACTATTGTTCTCTAAATTGTCCGAGTGAGTACTCGGTGAGCTTCCGGGGGATTACAACTTGCGGTTAGAGGCTCTAGAGCCTCTAGAGGGTTAAGTTTTGGCCGCGCGCACACAGCGTCTGGCATATTAACACCGCCGCCGACTTCCTATCATGCATATTCCAACTCTGTGCAAACGAATATCTTCCCACTGATCAAGTAGACTTCAGAATACATCCATAAATCTGGCGGAGATTTTGGATCTACATATTCGCGCGTCTGTATATTCATAAATCTTTGAATTATTAAGAATTGATAATTTACGTTTCTGGCTTTCGTGAGGTCGATACATTTATATTTGTACGCTAAAATATAATATATTACTGATCGATATATACATCTTAAAGTCTCCGGATCCTGACGTTAAATCCGTTGTGACAACGTTGTAACAACACTTCATTACGTCGAGGACTCGAATCTGTACGAGACGCGACGATTATGCTAATGCTCGCGAATAACGTCATGATATTACATGCAATATTCAGGACAGCATCTGTATAATGAAGGCGGTATATGCCGATCTGCACACGTCTGCGCACGAAACCTGCAATTTGTCATTCTGAGCACGCGAGCGGTACGCTTTATGTATTTGCGCCGTTCCATCAGAGACTTAAAGAACATTGTCGCGCGCTGTAATATTACACGTAGATATTACACGCACTTTCGTTTGGGAGATATTATCCTATCTTGTTCCCGATGTGTGTACACGCGCGCTCCGCAGATCCGTAATCCGATGCAGCCCGGGTTAAGCGATATCGCTGTCTCGTGCAATTTTCATGATTGATGAGGAAGCTGCGGGGAATAAGACGTCGAAGGGAGCTTGCAGCGACTTTCGATCGTACGAACGAATTAATTTCGCTGGAGCATTTTCCCGTCAGTGGCTGTAGCAGTACACACTCTTAATCATGTATTGCCTGTAGTACCTCCAAATTCGAGGTATTTTTTTTTTTGAACATGGAAATGACATTTCGAGTTACACACCAAAAAGAGGTATTTTTCGCGGTACATTAGCACGAGGTACGGAATGTACGAGGTAATAATAAATTTGGCGATACAATTGGAGGTACTGCATCTGAATTCGCGATATATTTTATTTGGAAGTACAAGGCTCCGAGTTTGTACCTCATGTATATAAGACATACGAGGTACAAAATTTTGCGTATGTGTATATAATACGAGGTACAATATTTTGCGCATGTATGTCGTATTTATAAATACGACATACACTCAATGGTAAAAATATACTGCCAGTTTTTGGAAAGTCCTTGATCAAATGACAAAACAATAGATTAAAGATTTCGTGTACCTCCAATTTTTGGCGATACATGATTAAGAGTGTACGGTACGATATATCTGCTGAAGAGAATGATGAAATATATCGTTAACATAAAAAAAATGATGATGTATATTGTTAACATAAAAAAATAACAAAGGGCGCCGAACAACAATTTCTTCACATTTTGTTCGGTCGTGCTGTGATAAATGTCACGTAATAATTCCGTAATCATCATCAGCAGTATTCTGTTTGCTTGTACACCGTCGGTTCTATAAATATCAAAATGAACGCGAATCATGCGCAAAGTTAATGATGACCATAATGACAAACGGCCTGTCCGGGTCAGATAAATTTTGTCGAAGATATTTAGCGAATTTCGATGTGTGCTCGGGGCACTTCACTGCGATTGGACATCCCATACACGACCGAATGTTGAACATGATTCTCCGATAATTAGGATCGTGGGAATTCATTCCAAGCATCTCCCAATCGTATAATTTAAGAGCTGAGTAATTAGTTCCGCAATTTCTCCCTCTCACTCTCTTTTCATCTTGTTTCATTACAGATGCGAACGGTTATGCTATGGAAGAGAAAAATGTAGTCTTTTCATCGCTTAAAAAATTACGAGGTGAAAAATTCCGTCTTCCTTCGTTTACCTTGCGCTATACGATGTTTTATCGGCATACCTGATTTTGTTTACCTAATATGCTCCGCGTCGAATCACTCGTGGCGGGGGGATCGCGAGGGACCGTAAATTGAGTGGAGCATCGGCGGAGTGCGCGCGTCTCCATCCGCTTTTGCATAATACATGTAAATGCAGCATCATCCTTGCTCTTTCAGCGTCCCCCACGACATCCGTAATCTCGGAAGATGCAGCATCCGCGTCGCGTCTTATAAAATCCAACGCGATAGCGACTTACTGCTCGGCGTCTGGGATAACGTTGTACATACCCACCAGCGGCTCGCAATGAAAATCGCGCGGACGCGAGCGTGTCGCGTACGAAAGTTCTCCCGTTGCAGCTTTTCAGCTACATATAGTTTAGCGCGACCGCTGGTGCGCGCGCGGTGGCGCGATATCATAAGCCCGGACTCTTTAAGATGTCCCATTTACGTCCCACGCGAAAATCTTGTAACGCAAGATCTCTCCCCGTCGGTCGTAATAGAATTCAACAGAATGGCGTTATAACCCGATTTCGGCCTCGCAAGGAAGAAACTTCGGCCGCCGTCGGGAAACTTCATTTACGGAACAATATTATCCCGGCTAGCCCTGCCGGGAGGCTTTTATAAAACAAATTCCTCTCGTTATCACAACAATACCGTCACGGCCATTAAACCGCCATCGCGTCTACTAGAGAATCATGTCAACGTGTCCGACATACCTACACACGCGCCTCCGTATATCAGGTCACGTCCGCCCAGGCACATCTCCACCGACAGACAGCCCCCAGTCACGTATCCCGTTATACATCCCCGGTCCAAACGTTTCTATGTGGGAACAACACTGTAGTTTACCCATCATTTATTGGCTCTCTGTGTAAACCAATGTATACATAGGAATGTACATACATAGATTATTCGAGAGAAGCGCGTTTCATTAAAAAAAAAAAAGAAATCACAATTTTTAGTACGTTGTTCAGAAGAGAATGCGTGAATTTAAACGATAATGGATCTGACTCATTCAATGTACATACAATTAGGAGTTGCGTACTCGTGGCTCTTAGTCGCTTAATTGCAATGTCAATAGCACACTTGATTGTCGAGAACATCCATCTCTGCATCATTAATTTTCTCAATCATTCAAGCTGACATCGGTGACCATATTCAACGATTGTTATGTTACGTCTCGACATTACAGCTGCGTACATGTATATTTTTAGCCGTATCGCATAAAATCGATAAAAAGATTTCAGCTATGCGTCGCTTTGCACATTTGCCGGACTGCCGCGTCCATTTTAAATATAACTCGCCGCGGATATATGGTCGCGACGTGGTGCCCGTCGTAGACCACGTGTCTCTGAAGATACGCGCGGCGATAAACGGAATGTCAGGATTCGCCGAAACTTTCGCTCTCTTGTTCGCAGCACCGGAGCTACTCCAAATTCAACATCCACTGCATGGAGCATCCGGTGCACCAGATGAGCTGCGTCTCGGCCGCCGGGCCGATTGCCAGGCTGCGCCAGAACAGCGTGTTCGTGGGCTCGAGCACGTCGCTGCTGCCGGCCGGCCAGGAGGCGCCCAGGCGTACCAAGAGCGCCTTCGATCTGCAGTCGCTGGTGCACGCGGAGGGCGCGGGCCCGCAGAACGATGAGGAGGAGCGCGACGGTGACACGTTGAGGACCCTCAGGTCGTTCGGCGAGACGTCGCGGCTGTTGCAGCGCGACCGTCGACCCAGCGTTTACCAATTCGACCGTACGGACGTCCTGGCGAGGCCGACGCTGCAGCGCGAGCGCGGCATGAGTATCTGTCACTTCGACAGGACGGAGGTTCTGGCCCGACCGTTGCAGAGGGACCGTGGCATGAGCATCTGCCACTTCGACCGGATGGACGTCCTGGCGAGGCCGACGTTGCAGCGCGACCGCGGCATGAGTATCTGCCACTTCGACCGGATGGACGTTCTGGCGAGGCCGGCGGTGCAGCGTGACCGCGTCAACAGCATCTGTCACTTCGACAGAATGGACGTGCTGGCGAGGCCCACGTTTCCGCCCGGCAAGTCCCTGCTGCGGGAGAGACGCGTCAGCGTGTGCAACTTCCTGGAGAGGGACGAGGAGTCGCCGGGCAGCAGGAGTTCCCTGCAGAAGGACAGGCGGTTGAGCGTCAGTAACGTCGACAGAATCGAGACCCTCGGGAAATCGTTGTCGCGCAGAGACCTGCGCGGCAGCAACAGCAACGTGGTGGACAACGTCAGGCAGGACAGCCTGTCGAAATGCGGCACGATCAGAGAGAGGAACAACTCCATGCATCACTTCGATCGTCCATCCTGCAGCAAAACGTCCGACGTCGTGCTCGGGTACAAAGCGACGTGCGTTTAGTCGCGGCTCCATTCCCCGGGGGCCTGACGGAGAACGCGCGAATAGAAGACGACGATTGACTCCGCGACGACGGTCCAGTCGTCGCGGATCTACCTTGGACGAAATACGGCTGTGAAATTCTTTCGTAATCGCTTTTGCTTCGACGCCATCTTATGTCGCTTATATTTCTTGTATTCTTTTATGGAGTTGTATTCTTGTATTCTTTTGAGAAGCAACCACAGCCCCAATGGCCCTTATCGAACCGTCAAAGTGCGATAACTAATCGCTCGACATTTGGACGTTACGCGGTTCCGAAATGGCGGAATTACCCTCATTTCTGCCCTTTGCGCGAATAAATGTCGCTTCGATCTCGCTCGCTCGCTCGCTTCGCGGACGGAGAATCGATCTATAAGTCTCGGTCTCAGAAGAAAAAAACATCTCGCGTCTTTTCTGCGCGTGCGAAATTAAGTGCGCGTCAGAGAGAGAGAGAGAGAGAGAGGTCTTTAGATGCTCTCCGGAAATTAAAGGCGCGTCGCGTGGACACGCAATAGAAGGGCGGACGTTGAGGAGCGTTTTTCATCGTGGTTTTCTCTTTTTCTTTTCCCCCGCGTTTATTTTTTTTCCCCTCCGCCTTTTTTGCCGCGGGCTAAATGTAATAACTAAACTACCTACCTACCTACCTACCTACCTACCCGGTCGGCCTCATGAATGATACATGACGAGCATTTCGACGAATTCGCCCGGGGAATGCCGTTGAATTTCCCTTCGTTATTCGGCGTTTCGTTAATGGTATATTCGAGAGTTTCGCTAGTTGAAACGCTCAACAATGAAACTGTAGAACGCGGCGGATATCAGCAAACACAGTCGCGCGTGAGTTTCCGTAACGGCGGGAGAGCGCGATCGACGCGATTGGCGCGAGCCAGCGCTGGTTAGAACGTTTCATTGTAACGCGTTTATTTGAACAGTCCGGAATTTTTAATTAACATCCTTAATCGCGGAGTCTGAGCGAGCGGAGTACAATTAGTTGGAAAAGGAATCGATCGACCAACTTTATTCATCCCTATCCAATTTTGCTCTTTATCTCTCTCTCTCTTTCTCTCTTTCTCTCTCTCTGTCTCCCTTTCTATCCTTTAGCCATAATTATAGACGGAGACTTTTTCTCCTCTTTCCTCTTTCTTCTCGGAACGTAATCCGTCGTAGGGAGCGAACCGTAGAAATTACTCTATTCTTCGCAGAGACGAGGTCTCGTCTAGGTCTCATCTCCTCTACTTGTAGACGTACGTACGGGCTCTCGCAAATTGTCTGCACACACAAAGCAGCGTAAATCGGTTAGATGCAACGGCGCGTTTACCGGGCGCGCGCGCTTGATCGTTCGATCAGTAGAACCTGTCAAGTCAACGCCATCGGCACGGAGGAAAGAGAACGGTACATGCCTCTCAGGGATTTATTATTTAAAATCTTCACTCGCGTGGAAAATGGTCTGTCGCTCTAATGCAGGGGGAAGTCATGCGAAATGCGCGCATTCGTTTCTTGCAATTTCAATTAAACAACGTTTACACGGAGCCTATTAATTCAGCTAATGTCGAACGGATTGATATCGAATCTATCGGTCTCGGGCTCGTTAATCGAGCTTTGCGGCCGCTGCTTGTACGAAACACGTAGATACACGCGACACGTAGTCCGCGCGTTTACGGCCGTACGTTTACATTTAACGATCGTAACGGTCATTAAAATTTCATTATCGCGTAATGGGTTTGATTCTGCTTCTCGTTTTGGCGTGTATGTCATAATTCTTCGCGGTTAATGCTGTCGTAAAGTACAAAAGCGTTCAAAGCATATACTATTCTAAAGCCACAGATACAAAAACTGTAATGATATTTCGCCGTCATATCCACGAAATATATATCCGTAACGATATAACGAAATAATTACCTATTTTGAATAATCGATAGATTTACATGGTACATAAATACATACATATATGCGGGAAACTATATGTCAGAATATTTTCGGAGAGCCTACATATATTTTTATCCGTTGGAATAAGGGCAAGCAGTTATTAATGAGATTACTCTTAGTACCTAGTTCCTTCAACGTTGGAAGATGTATGATATACGCGATTGCTGCGTACGGTGCTAGAGAGAGAGCTCTTAGCGAGATTCGTAGTTTGTACACGTGTTTGTAGCGCACGGAATTAGAGAGATGAGCTCACCGAGCCATCGGTACATTATCTCCAATTTTTATCTTCAGGTTCACGCTAAAGGATAATTAAAAGTGAATTAAAAACGGAGAGATGTTACACGGACAAAACTCAATGTGAGCCATCTCTCAATTTATTAAAGGCCCCTGTCTGCTATTTGATGTTTTAATTAAAAGTGCAACGAAGTCATCATATAAAAAGAGAGAAATCAACACTGTTTTAATCCCGCGCTCCGGCGGAAAGCGGCCTTCAATAAAACAAGATATTACGATAAAATTTTCTCGCGTATATTTATATTAAAAGTGGGAGCGCGAATCTCTTTGCAGAGAATATTATTTTTGTTTTTCCCCCTGACGTAATTACATCACTGTATAATTAAAGAACTCGGCTCAACGATATATTAATCTACGTGAAAGAAATGTACCTCATCTACAGTAGTCAATACATTATTGTTCTACCAAACGATTAATTACAACTGAATAATAGGAACATGTGATCTTTTTTTATTTCATGTAAATTAAAATACTACTTCTCGCGATCGGAAAATCTCTCCGTTATCTCTATTATCAAACTTTATGGAAGTATTAAACGCAGTTATAGCTCCCTCGTGTCAGATCGAAATTCATTATCAAGGGGACCTTGTCTAATTAGCCGATAATGAGAATATCGTAGAGTATAATTATTATATATATATATATATACGTACGTAGACACGTTCAGACCAAAAGTAAGCTTTAAATTCTAAGACTCTATGAAGTATAGTAAAGACTAATCATAGATTAATTTCGTGACTTCACATTCACGCGCGTTCTCAAACGTTCATACTTTTGACGATTCAGACTGTTTCAATCAAAAGAATTCGAGTATTCTAAAAGTATATGTATTTTTCATAAATGTCCGATAAACATTAAGACACACAACTTACGTATCTCTTTTTTGTAAAGAAACGGAGCGTTGTAAAAATAATGCATTTATTTTGTTAAGTACTCGTTTGGCACAGATAGATCTTATATTGATTTTAAATACAAAAATTGTCAAATATAATTTTAATAGTATGAAAGTATTGCTGAATATTACGCTTATTCCAGAAATTTCTCGCGATTTTTTTGTGAATTCCTATGAAAATATCGGACATTTCTCTAACAGATTTTCTCTTATATATCTCTTATATATTCTCACGAAGCGTTCGAACAATTTGAAGAGGAGTACAATATCAAAGAACCATGTATGAGTAAGAGTAATAATGTTAGACTTGTGTGGGATGTGCTGTAAAAGTATAATGAATGATTGAGAAGATTGGATTGTCGTAATTGAACTTGCGAAGTGGATAAGTAATTTGACGAAGGAGCGTTTATTGAACAAGTTAATGCTAACAAATAATATATCTTATTATAACAGATATATTTATTATTTAATTATTTATTATACTTTAAAGGGTTTGTTATTTATATAATTACGAATGTAAATTCCCCATTAATTGATACGTTAACCGTCGACTTTGATTTCTTACAATTTGCCATTTACAACTTACTGCATTTACCAATTTGTGTGCGTTGGTCGAGTAATTTTTCTAGTCGTATATGATCTTCAGATTATATGTAGGAGACAAATTTTGTGAATATGTTAGTGAATGACTTTTTTACAATAAATATTATTTGAAACAATAATTGCTTTTTTTTTAGCAGGAAATACATATTTTTAAGTTTAATAAAAAAAAAAGGTTTCTCGTGTGTCGTCACCGTGACAATGTTTAAAACATCAGTCGCGCTAATAAATTAATTCCACATGTTATCCTATTTCCATTGTATTTTTAAGGGAAGCGAAGCGACACACAGAAAAATGTGCCCGTGCTTTTGCGAGCTCGGCGAGATTGCCCAGCGGCTACCGCTCGTTATACGATAAAGTGCAATAGCGGCGAGCGAAATGCATGGGGTTTCGCGAAATCAGTGGCTCTTTCCCGCTAACCGGAAATTTTCGTAAAAGCCTTCTATTTCAGAATATCCTGGGCCACATTGCACCTTTTATCGTACGATGATCATCGTACCATCGTACGTGATGAGACTCGTTATCTTTAAATCCCTCGATTTTTAAAGGGGTACGAACCAAGTAAGAATCTCCCACTGCGCCATTACGTTTTGGAGCCTTTTCGTCCAATTTCTCGAAATCCAAGTTTCTATAGAATTTAGAAACGTTCTTCTACTACATTTAACAGTTTTACTCTTATCTAATACGTTTTATTATTTTCTATAATTCGTTTAGTCTTGATAATTTATATTTCTATCGAGGTATAGTTGCAGGTTATTTATTTCAAATTATTTTCAAATTTATATCTTTCTCCGTTATTTGTCTCATTCCGTATTTCAGTTTCCGTATTTCAATTTGCGGCTCGACTGTCAGCTGTTCCTCCATATTACACTTACCGCGATATTTCAACATTGATCGGACATCGACGCATGGATTACCTTTATAATCGCGCTAAACTGTTTGAGCGTGAAGGAAACAAGCAGCTCAAACTGTTTAATACGACCTATCAATATTATCGACTAAACGTCAATATCTCTAAACTCCGCATATGACACGGCCGTTCTTCTATACTTTCAGTCTATCATACTTTTTCTAGTTTCTGTTGCGAAACATATTCCCATAAACGTGCATCATCGTGTGCGTGACTAATGAAAGTATGGTTCACCAGCGTATTTTCGCTATCTATACGAAACCTTTGTTATTATCGCGCGATTCAGCGATTGTGCTTTCTACGGCAACGTGCATGAAGAAACATTGGCTGCTTGCAAACATTAAATTTGTATAAATTGTACTGAATGTATTACATTTATTACATTTATTTTGCAAATTCTTGTTTCGTTCATTCATTTTTTAATGCCAATGCTTAGTTTTATCTGGTACATTATGAAGATTAAAATTTTTTTCTGTTTTTATTACTGTTATAGAAGATTACTTTAGTAAACTTGAGTTTAGTAGTAAGTTTTACCTAAAGTTTTCTCATTATAATTATGATGGCTTGATGAGTAACTAGAGCCACTTTATCTCTTCTATTTATTTATCTCAGTAAATTTTATAAATATTTCACATTCCGCGTTTGAAATGACACAGGCTGGTAATAACATGCCGGTGTGGTTACTAGTTAACATTTTCGCGGAAATTCCTTCGTATTGAGCGAGCGCTTAAGAATTCGTAATCTAACTCCGTAACGAAATAGCTGGTAAAAATCTTTGCATATTTAGAAAGTGTAATATAGCTCGTGTTCTTTATCTTGCCTCGCATTTTAAAATTACTTAATTAAATTTTTGCGTGAATCACTTCCATTTTCCTTGGAATCGTCCTTTATAAAAAATGCGCGACATTCTATCTTATTACTCTTTACAGAATCACTTTACAGTTTTTACAGTTATCACATTAAAGAAAATTAATGTTTCGTGCATTATTACATTTTTGGAAGTCACTTTGAAACTATTTTAGATTTTTAACAGATCGGTCAATCGTGAGTTCTTCACGTGCTTCGAAAGGACGTGACTCAGAAAGGATCACGAGATCGCAGGAGATCGTGTGGGCTTAATATCCTGAGCCAGCATTGGCACGTTCTACTCAAGATTGTTGCTTTTTCTCACCGTACTTGGACGAGACCGGAAACTAGGGCACTATTTCCCCGTCGTGGTTTGCCTCTCCAGCTAGAGGGAGTGGGGAGAATAAAACGAAGTACCTATGTAGGCGAAAGCAGGTGAACTCGGAAGATTCTGAGATGAGGGGCTCATGGAGAAATGCGGTAACAGTGCGCTGGCAGCTATCAAAAGTTTCATGGAGACATTTGCGGCAGGACACAAAACAGGCGGCACTGTGCGGAGAAGGTGTCCCAGAAGATTCTACTTTCTGGAAGGTAAGTCGTCGTTTTTGCCAAATACGGCGCATTTTATTAACTTGGAGAACTTCCGACGAAATTAGAAAGAACAGCAACTGAGAAGTAACGTAAACTTCTCAGTTTTTTTTACTATGATTGATAGCGTAAAATAGATATCTCACAGTATTTTTCGCAGTTGCGTTTTAGATGCGTTTCGTAACTAATTTCGAAATTGTAAAATTTGTTTCTCTCGGAATTATTATTTCATTATTTCCACAGTTTTTTTTTAGTCCTTGGTGAAAATTATCTTCATGATACGTAGATGGAGATGTCAAGTTTTTGCTGCTATATATAATACATATTATACAATTATGCAACACCTCGTGTAACAGCTACTTGTGATTTGCATATGAAGCGAATTTTATTCATACATATTTCTGCGCTGTAACTCGAATCATTGAATGCAGTAAAAAAGCAATGAAACTAAAATAAGCGTAAGAGCTCGTAAAATTTGTATATCGCCGTGAACACAAATATTCTACACCGTAAAATGGGCTCCATTTAATCCGAAGTCCTCCGCGCTGGTATTACGCAATTAGGCGAGTTAGTGGAGATGACAGAGGGATGTAATCTAAGGCTCTGTTTTTGACAATGAAATAGATATGATTTATGAAGGCCGAGCATTACGACGGCGCGCGGCGATGACGGTGACGGTGAAGTGCCCTCCTTTTAAAGATTATTGAGGATGATTCGATTCAAGGACACGACGTTCCACCTTGACATTATTTCACATCCGATAGTGCGAGAGGTTAAATATATTGCTTCCGATATGTTGTGTATATAAGTTCGTGAGGTATTTTCACAGCCGACTAATAGTAGAGCCGTTTGCTATATTCAACAATTTTAACTCTTATATATTTCTCTTATACACATTCTTTAAGATTTCAAGCGAATCCTCCGTATATGCTTTCGCCGAGTTTCCGGCCAGACATTGCTTGCAGCTCAGCCTAGTATTTTTCCATTTTCCGCGTCTCTCTCTCTCTCTCTCTCTCTCTCTCTTTCCCTTCCCATGAATTCTCACGTTTATTTTCACAGTCGCGAGATGCCGGACACGTATACTTACGGCCGAAAAAACAGGAGGATGCTCGCCTTCGAAGGAGCTTGAACGATATAAAGGTGCGATGCTGACGAAAGGATTTCTAGGAGAGAGGTAAAAAGGGATAGAAAAAACGGAGGAACACACCCAATCCGATGTTCTCAACGACGTCTTCGGGGATTCGCTCTTTCTTACGATCGACGGACTAAAAAGCCGACGGGATATCACCGAGATATGTGACGGTGGTTTTGCGCACCGAGGACATAAATTCTCGGGGGTATACGGCGTACGAAATATTTAACCCTCGGTGCCGGGGAGCCGCATGCGAAACGTAAAGGTCCGAGGTTAAATCCGAGTGACGTTTAAGATTGAAAGAGGAAAGCTGTCCCCAGCGCATTTGCCTTCAACTGCAAATATCAGAGTCCATTATCCAAGTCGACGACTCTACAAATGATGCTACAAACGGTCCTGCGCTCGTTCTCGAGTACGCAGCGTCTTTTTTAACGTTTCCGAAAGAATGACTTCCCGGAAATGTGTAGCATTCGCGGAATCTTTTTCAAGTCAGGCATTCAAGCTACGAAACCTTAAATGTGTGTGTATGTGCAAAATTTCTTGTACCACCGCTAGTACGTACGTAAGTATTCTTGACGTCATTCGACAGTTGGTTACCGCGGTGGTCCTGCGTTTAAGTGAAGCACTCCAACTATTTCAAGAAAGTGGCGTTAAAGCAAAATAGATGTTGGATGTTAAAAGATTGATTGGATGCGCGATATGTACAAAAATTTGAAATGTTTTTCTTACTTTATTTCATTTGAAAGAAAAAATTAAGATACTAAGGATCCCGTGCACTTTGCGTATGAATTGTCCACACAGAAGTCTAAGGAATTCAAAATATGTGACATGTGGCTTATTTATGCTCCGCTATGCGGAAACTGTGTTTTCAGTTAATCGTCACGTCGTTACGTTAGCTCGTTAGCCACCGGATTTCGTCAGGCACACCCACTGGCTTCCGGCAGAGACTCCTTAATTGAGTTGTGGATGACTTTAGAGCAGAGATTATTATCTGCTCCGGCTACCGCTCTTGTGTAAGGACGAGGGAGGGAGGACTCTAAACTAAATTTATTTTTACAGCGATCAGTTCGCATCGCAATACATTCAAAGGTATAAACGTCTTATTTCATTTCCATTCTATATCGTTTCGTAAGCACGACGTAAGTAAGGCTCGCGACTGCCGCGAGTAGCCGTAATATTTTATGATTATATAATATGGTTTTTGACGAGTGCGCCGTTTATAGATTCCATCGACCGCTATTTCCAATACGTTTTATCGAGGAGGGTATGAGCACCTCTTTCGAGGCGGCAGAGGTAGAGCCGCTCACATTGCTCCCGGTTCCGACACGCGTTAGAAGTTATACGACCCGTGAAGTTTTAACTCGTAAATCGCGTTCGCCGAATGACAATACTTCCACTTCGCGAGACGGAGGTAAAGGCAAAACGATCGGGGCTGCGAATGAACAGAATTACGCCACAATTCCTCGAGTCGCGCGCAAAAGACGAGATCCATCTTCCGAGGCTTGTCGGCGTCCCTTTATATCTTGTTAAAAGTTTACGGCCGAGATTGCGGAATATAATGCTGTAGTGCTCAGACGTGGCACGTCCCTCGGAATTATCGGTCGCGCGGTTTTTCCTTGGGAAAAAGCGCAAGATAACACTGCACA